CTCATGATAGCATTTACGATTGTTACCAGACACTTTTACGAAAATGAGGACAAGAAATCTAAAATCTCTTGCAATATTTTGAAATAAGCATTTAGAATTGTTATACCTATATTAAGTATTCAAACAATTATTTTTTATTGTCCTAACAGCTGAAACCAAGGCCAGTGCAACATCTGTGAAATAATAATATCAAAATACGTTTACCGTCGTATGTAATATAATTTCTTATCAGATATTTGACTTTTTTTCCCTTTAAATATAGCCGTGTCAAAAAAAAGATACCTATAGGTAAACGCAGTACTAACGACACTTCGTTTTAACACTAGAAACAGCATTAACCTTATGAAAATTGGTTCTATTTTGTTAATTTAGTATTGGCCTATGAAACAACAACTATCATGAACGATTACACAATATGCAACTTGGCCAAAAATGTTTGCTGTGAAAGATAGGTATTTATGGCTTTTCGTGGCTCCCGTGTACATGATAATAAAAGCTTGAAAGCTGTTTTTATGCTATGAGTTTGTTTGCTTGTTTGTTTTAGTAATATGTTGTGTTGATTTTATAATGATTGATGATTCTGATAACTTTTTAAAAAGTATTAAATAGCTTACACTTATGATAACACACACTTCACGGTTCGTTGAAAGTTTAGAAATAATGCTCAAATTTTATTGTCAGCACAATCTCTTTAAAACTGCAGAAATTAATTTAATAACAATCAGCTTAATTATTAGACGATAATTAATATTTACCAGTTTTGAAAGATTTCTTGATGTTATTGAATCATTGGTAAAAAGTGCCTATGAAAATATAATATATACCTATTTTTTATACATTTTTAAGTTCACAATATGGTAACAAAGATTGACAATATTATGTCGTATCATAACAGTTAATATAATTTCAATTATTTTGAGCGAATTATCTTATAAAGTTCATTAATACATTTATTTTTTTATATTTTAAGATCCCCTTCAGTGAACTAATAATCAGATGCAGTTTGCTTTATAAACATTTCATATAAAAATATTGCTAAGTAACTGTAACGACCAATTGGAGACGGAGGAAGGAGCAAAAGGAACTAGACCATCAATAGACAAAGCTGTGCATTTCACTCTTAAAGACTAAAATGGCTTGGTGATTAGCGTGGCTAAAGTATGGATCCGAGGGTTCATGGATCATGATCCGTTGCCGCAAAAACTGCGTTCCCCACTTTTGGAGCCATGGTTGCGAGTGACGGTCATTTTTCAGTCAGACAGTAATAGCCCAAAGGGTATGGTGGATGCTGTTGAGTAGCTTCCTTGCCTCTACCACCTCAAAATAATGAACGGTTATAGCGGTTATGACAATATAGCCCTTGTTTAGCTTTGTGCTAAAAGTTGAAAAAAGAAATTGCTCTTAAATTTGTATAAATATATACTTTAATATAAGATTCCCAGGTGATCAGGTATTTGTATGCGACACAGAAGAAGGCTTACAACATCTGGTTAAAAGTTTGAAAGCAACAGTTACTAAATCCGTGATGAATGTCAACATAACAAAGATAAAAGTTACAAAGTTCTCAAGACAGCGAAGAAATATGAAGATTGTAATCGATGGTCAGCAACTGGAAGAAGTTGAAAGATTCAGATACTTTGGCAGCATACTAACATCAGATGGAAAACGCTCAGAAGAAATTATAGCTAGAACAGCAAAGGCCAAAAAAGCCTTAATAAAAGGAAAGAAGTACTAACAAATCGACTATCAAAGAAAGTGAGAAAAAGACTTGTAAACACACTAGTGTGGAGTGGAGCCCTTTATGCTGCTGCAAACGTGGACATTAAGGACTGACAATGTAAAGCGCTTGGAGAGGTTGAGATGTAGATGTGGAGAACAATGAAAAGGGTCAGTTGAACAGAAAAAAAACAAAAAAACAATGAAGAGGTGCTCGCAATGGTTGAGGTGAGGAGAAACTTAGTAGAAGTCATCAGAAAGAGACAGAAGATATGGCTGGGTAACGTATTTCGCGATGAAACTTTGCTGAAGCCTACTTTAGAAGAACACATGAAAGGAAAACCACCGAGAGTCAGAAGAAGAAAGATACTGATGGATGACATCAGGAGCAATGATAGTTATACACAACTCAAGGAAAGAGCGTTGTGAAGGAAGAGCTGAGCTGTAGGCCTATCCAAGGACAGAACATTGATTAAATACTTTAGTATATTCGAGAAGAAGTTCTTTAAAATAATATTTTATAACATATTTTAACGGCTAGACGGAAAATTACCTCTTCATAATTCTTTCAGGGGATAATAGAATGGAGTTATGTCTACCCCACACACTGTTAATATACAAAGTACGCCAATTTCTTCTTTTTATTACTAGAGGGCAGCATTGCGCCTCAAAATAATCCGTATGTGGGCTGGGATTGTCTCCAGACTAGGCGTGTTTATTCGAGGCCAAGGTAGGAGGAGTAGTAACATTTCTAGAAGAGTGAAAAAATAGCCTAAATTTCTTCTTTTGAGCCTGTATGTTGCTTAATTATTTATTTCTAAATATATTAAGTATCGCTAAAAACAAGGCGGGCCATAAGTAGAGGAGAATAATTCACTACTATGACACAGTTAAACATTCTAAAGAAGAGCAGCTTGGAACGCCGCTTTCCAGTACTACAGTAGATATATTATATGTGGCTCTCTCCTCTTTATCAGCTGAGCGCTGTGACGTTGGGTTTGAGTCAGCAAAGCGTTCGTCCAGTCACCTTACATGTGTTTGCGTGTGAAGATCGTGACAATGTCGAAACCCGGGTTTTAATCGTTAAGGTCTCACATAAAGAAGTGCTTATAGTATAAGAACAATATTACGCAGACATAAGGTTTTATATCGCATAACAGAAAGCTCCATTCCATTAAAATACTGTGATTATTGCAATCGAAAAAATGGCGCTCACTCAGCATACTGTCAACTGTAGTCTAGATGATATCGATTTAAATAGTCTGAAGGTAAGTCAGATGTATAATTCTGAGTAGATGTATACGGATTTAGAAAAAACAAGTTTTACCATAATTTAATAAAAATGGACCTTAAAAACTTAAGAAATGAACTAGATTGTGGAATATTTATTTCAATGTCAAAACTGTATGGTCATTTACTGAAGATAAAGGAATATTATGAAATAAACGTAATAGTTGATTGTGAATTGAATAGAATATTGAACTTGAAAGTTGAAATTAATCAAACACGAAAGAGTTTGTGATTTGTTAGACAAGAGTTTGAAGTATTCTGTTGAAGGTTTGTGGTCGTAGTGAATCCAACAAACTAGATCTTAAGTTGAAACTAATATATACATATATTGGTACAATGCATTAATTTTAAGAAAATGAACTAGAACTGTTTTAAAGTACTTTGTTTATTTTAGTCCAATTATTTTAAAAATGCATTAAATTATAAAAGTAAGTATAATTAAATATAATTTATTTTCACTGGGAACTATTCTTATTTAAAAAATTATATTTTAAATGTTAAAAGATTTTCAAGTGGTTGGGACAGACTACTTATGCAAAGACATTTTAAATTTTTAATTATGTTAGCAGTGGAGACTCAAATATTACAAAGTGTAAACAATTCAAACATTTATTCAATTTCTTATTTAGTTAAAAATATAAACTACCAAAAGTATTGTTAACAGTGAGGATAGGGAACTAATAAGATAATGTATCCTAATCTTTTGTTATCTTTCAAAATTTGTATTGCATACTGGAAGGATTTAGTTAGAAAAAACTACATTTACACTCCAGATAATTATAAGAGAACTTTTATTTTAACCAATGTTTTACCGCAAAAGGCCCTTTTTTTCTAACTTTATTATCAAAATATATTCTAACCTTTATAAGTAAGAAATTTATATTAAATTAACTATATTCATTACTAAGTTGATTTTTAGTTTTGATCTAAGTAGTTAGCTTGCTCTGATCAGAAATAAGTATTAATACTCTTATCATTGTGATGTAATTTGTTTGTTTTTAGTTTTTTGTTTCTTGTAGAGTGAATGATGATTTTTTGAAGAGTTCAGGATAAAATTTTTGTGATGATAAATTTTATCCATACTTGTTAAGAAGAAAAATTTGTTCATTAGAGAATTGATTTAATGGCCTAGATGAAAAACCCTTCATCTTAACAAGTACTGCTGTTTTAAGATGTTAATATATGATATTTATGAAATGGACATAAACTAGATCTTGAAACATTTGAATGATTTTTAGACAAATCTCCCACAATACACGAAGAGAGAAAAATACTGAGAATAAATAAAGGCTTTTCACATACCTTTTTTTTCTTCTATAATATGATTTACAATGTAGACCAGGGTTTAAGAAATACAAAACTTGTAATTACGTAAAATTTAGAATTGGTACACAGCATGAATACTTGAAGGTGAAAATTTTGAAAAAAGCTTGCTTGAGATTATAATTTACTTTGAAATAAAAATTTCAAATTGCATAAAAGAAATATTGTCCCAAGGTCACTTGGGCTATTTTCACCCATATTATAAAAACTACTGTCTTATGATTCTTTTCTGTGGTTGAAAGTAGCTAGAAAATAGATTTAGCAAAACAGTTATTTACTTTTAGATTCTATGGTTCCCCTTTGATAGAATGTACTTAAGAATTACCTGTGTAAGGACTTTATATAAGGTAATTTGAAAACTCTTATAACTATCATGCCACATTCAGACAATAGAACAAAAGTTTTTTTTAGCTTGGCATTTAGTCATCAGTTGTGAAAACAAGACTTTTCTTTTAGAGTGACAACAGATTATACCTTTTGAAAAACATTATCTATGATAATGAAACATCACTTGTGATGCATGACTTCTCATGTTTTAAACTGCCTTGCACGAATAATTAATCTCAATCTGAAATGTCTTAATTGGTATAGCAGTCTTTTTTTTTTACTTCAATATAGTATTGTTCACCATATCTTAGCAAAATGTTCAGTTTTCAAAAAGTATTCTACTAACTTTTAAGTAAGTAGAGCCTAATTGTAAAGGTTCGCTGCACATTGAGTAGGAACATATGTGTAATTTCATAAAGAAACAAACATCACATTGTATCAGGATCATTTAATTGTAGCCCAGATAAGAAATCTTTAATTCAAAATACAGTATTTGTGTGCTTCGAATATTATGAACTTTTATACAATATGATAATATAAGGTTTAAGTTATTAATTTATAAGTTTTTGAATGGCCTTGGCTGAGACTCGTCTATAAATTGTTTATTACCTATATCTTGGATCATTATATGTACCGACTTAATATTGAGTAATAGGTGGGTAAATAAATGCAGTTTTTTATATCTTGTGTTTGGAATACTAAGGAAAAATCAACATATGTTAGTATTTTGGAAAGTAATGTTCTAAACTATTAATGACTACTTTGTTCCTTCCATTAAGTAAAATTAATTGGTGTATACTTAAGCATATGTACAGACTCCTTTATCTTGTAGATGTTGTAGCAGCAACTGCTCAAGGTTTATTTTAGATTTATGTATTTTCTTCAATATGAATATTATGATCACAACTATTTTCAAATATAAGCTTGCTTAGTCCAGCAATAATCATATATAATTTTAATTCAATGTAGTTCTTGATAATAAAAGTTCCCTTAGCAGTAGTAATGTACATTTCAAGATAAATGTTGTTCTTGATAATTCAAGTGCTTTCAGTAATATATCAAGAGTTATGTACCTGCTACATGTAACTTATAATAGTCTAAAGTTTTCTCAGTAACAAGGAATAGCTATACATAATTCAGCATAGTTCTTGGTAATATAAGGTTTTTTAAGTAAGAATTACAGATAGAAAATTCAAGACACATGGCTTTATGTTAATATGAGGTTAAACAAATTACTTGAGTCTTTATTTTTTTTTATATTTTTGATTTGTATTACCTTTTTGTAGTTATTTTTTTCCCTAAAACCCATAAAAATTTTTAAAGAATTCCTTTTCCTACTCAGAATTAGTGTTCTTTCATTTTTGTTTCACATTTGTGTTCTTTGGTAAAATAGTTTTCATACTTGAACTGCATATTTTATTCATGAACCTTTATGTAATTATCTGTAGATATAAACAAAAATGTTACTTTTGCAAGGGTTTTAAAAAATTCTGCCAGGCATGAAATATTAAAAAATGTTTTTTGATAAGCATTGAATATGATAATTTAAAAAGTACTTTAAGAGAGTTAGTTCAATAAATATTTTTACTTGAGTTACAGTACTGCACAACTTACATGTAATTTCATTTTGTATGTTAATTATCATTTAGCCTACATGATAATTTTTTAGACAAAAGTGATATTTATATGAGCATTATATGTCAATGAATAAAAACATTCACAAGCAGCAGTTTATTTACTTTTTGAGTAAAATAAATAATATTTAATTATTTCAAAATCCAAATGATATAAATTACCAATTTTTATTTAAACTATGATGTCATACAATTTGTACGGAAAGTACTGCATAGTTTTATAAAGCCTTTCTAAGAGCATTTTTGTAGTGAAGCCTCATACACCAAATGTTTGTGCAATAATAAAAATTGACAGGTATAACTGATATTTAAATCCCATCACTGATATGATTCTTTTTTGGGGAGAACAACATATTACATTTCCAACAACCAAAAATTGACATTGTATGTAATACTTCTTCCATTGAATCTTAGTAGTATTTTAAAAATGATTTATATTTGAAAGTAAACGTTATCTAATCTATATAAAAGCCTGAGTGTGTGCCACATCACGCTTGTTTTTTGTTTTTTTCTCTCTCTCTCTATCTCAAAATAGGAGGAGTCATAAGAGCCAAAATGCATTTATCCAGATAGAATAGTTTGATTACTGTCAGCCCATTACGATTTTAGTGACAGGGTGTCGTGGAATCTTATAAGTGTAGTGAGTGTTGGTATAATAAGCCTAAAGTAAAGACGTAGTATAGGATCACCTAGCCTAGAGCCAAGTGTATAAAAGTTTTCATAAAAATTATATCGATTCAATTTTAAACTTAAATCGTTTTTGAATTAAGCTATTTTCTGTTATATCGCCAACGTTTTTAATTAAAAACAAATCTCTTTAATCAGTGGAGACTCTAAATTGATAATTGCACAAATATATTTTCAATTTTTGTTGTCTATACATCTCTTTTTATACTTTCAGTACCTAGACTAATAACAATATTAGGTTTACTTTTGTTGCTAATCGACATGACATAAAAGCCATTGTTGGAATATAGTGTTTTCTATATATATTAGAAATTGTTAATCTAACTGGTTTATACCAATAATTATTCTATGAATACGCCACGAATTCATTTCATGAATGGTCTTAAATTTGATTGGCTCACAAAGGAATTTACTAAAGGTGTGGCAATACAGCGATACCATTGTATCGATACATCGTCCGATACGATTTATGTATCTTCACGAAATCTGGCAAGCTTTCAGTAAACATTACAAGTCTTTTTGCACAGAAAAATCAGTATTTTTGCTAAAAATTAGTGATTCAATAAAGGAAGATGAGTATTGAGTACTACATGTTGTCTCATTTCTTTTATCCAAAAACACTACATGCAAAGTAACATAACAAATGAACAATTACAAAATAGATAAACAGGTATTAATTTTTATTTTACTTCTCTTGCCAGCTGCCATTTAGTTGATCAAACCTGAGAATTTGAAAAAGCACCGTAAAATGTGAAGTACTGAAATAAGATAATGTTAGTATTATACACAATAAACTACAGACAAGACTGTGAAACTTTGTAACAAATCGTTGGTAAAATTTCTGTTTCTAGATACGTATCGTATCGCAGCATCAATATCCAGATACGAATCGTATCGACTACTATCATGAGATATTCACCCCTGGAATTTACCGACGTTTGACTGACTCGACTGCATTTTTTGCCTCTGTGTTGGTCAAGCTTGATTTTGCAATATTTATTTATTTCAGTTGTTATGAAATGTGAGGTTAGGGTATATTATGGGGTGGGAGTGGTAGTACTGCTACGCCATTTTTGGCGTACTATACGCTAGTGGAATATAAAAAGGGAAGTTTATCATTCACTCTATACAGAAACATTATGATGTGCGTCAATAATCTCTGAATAGTCATCATCTTATACGTATTTATTGATTTATTTGCAGGATCCTGCTGGGATATTTGAACTCATTGAAGTAGTAGGGAATGGCACGTACGGTCAGGTGTACAAGGTGAGTGACCTCATCATCCTTGTCTGGTGTTGTTTCATGATGCTGACTCATTCATTTGGAACGTTTTTCGGGTAAATTAACATGTGTGAACTTCTTCGAGTCATAAAACACTCCCAAGATTTTAAGTTAAAACTTCCTGCCTACGTTAAATGTATAAGCATTCTAAGATCTAATATCGCAATATCAAATGACTCACTGCTTAAACAGAAAGAAGTGGTTTTAGAGCGAGGGATTTGTTTACCTTGGTGTTTCTCTCGTCTGTGAATTTTGTGCAGTTAAGCTGTGCTGCTTTGGAACATTTATTTGGCAGTTTATTTTTTCTTCCCAAATTAACATGGTTTTGAATAACATTTGATTCCTTTAATTAGTTATAATTTATAGTTTAATTTTTTTAAGACATAATATTGCCGGTTCCCAAAAAAATTGAAGACATTTCAAATTTCTTATATTCACGTTCCAGGAAACTTTTTTATTTTGTTGAAGATTTGTTTAACTACAATGCGATGATTTACGACGAATATAGTTGAGCTTAATTTTTGTACTGTGAATAACAGTTCTAGTATTTTTTTTACGAAGTGCTTATAGAAATGTTCTGTGTGACAAATTTTTGTTCAATTGTACATAATTGCATGATGAGAAAAAACTTCATTTTTATAACAAAGTTGAAAGCAAACAACAACATATTTTACAAATCAAGCTAAAGCAGACAAAACTGTAATATTATCTACTAGATATAATGTTAATGATTCTTTCACGAAATACCATGTTTGCAAAATTTGAATCAAAAAGCAATTTCTGTAAGTAATCAAACTAAAAGGTGCGCCCCCCAGTGGTACAGCGGCATGTCTACGGACTTACAACGCTAGAAACAGGGTTTCGATACCCGTGGTGGGCAGAGCACAGATAGTCCATTGTGTAGTTTTGTGCATAAAATTCAAACAAACTAAAAGGTGCAAAATGTTTTCGAAAATAACCCAAAGCTTTTAATATGATATACTTCATGTTAATATTAATAGTTGTTTTCTTGCGAAAGATGAAGTTTGTAAAATATGAAGTAGATGATTTTAACATAAAGTTTATGGAGGAATTTAACCAAAGTAATTGTTTCTGGAATTGAAAAATAACGGACTTTCTAATTTCAAATCAGTTGGTAATGTTGACATCAACCGTACAGCAAAATGTTTATTTTACAAAAACCTTTGCCCCCTAATGAAAGCAGTTTTACCTATCGAAAGGACTAGGGCTTTATGAATTTTCTTTCATGTATCATACAAACAATAAAATTGGGTCTTTGTTAGAGAATTCAGAGAACCGCTGCTTGTTCAGTTTGCACGTTTTCTTTAACAATTCACGTTTTTCACTATATTCGGGTTAGTCACAAACGTGAACACAACCGACACAGTTAATCAAACAAAACTACCCGATACATTTTTTTTTTTCTTTGGCAAGACTCAGTTTTACTTATAAGGCCATCAAGAATATAAGCAGGTACATCTCTTATGATGTTGTGCAGGATCATGCCATATTACTTGTAATATTTTATTATAAAAATATTCTTCACTATTCATTGTACGTATGTAATACAAGTTTGGCCGATAGGTGTATTTTTTAGACATTATATTAAATTGACATAACACTAGAAACGCTAACCTAATTGAGATCTTTGGCAAAATTTTAAGAAGAAAATGTTTTTCTGTAAAAAAATTATAATAGGTTAAGAGTCCATAGTAGTGTTTGTATAATCCATGAAAGATTATAAGGTTTACGAATTTTTGCATTAAGACTCAAACTTTGTTGTTGTGCAGTGTTAGCGCACAACTCAACGAGTTTTACTCTGTTGCTCTTTGAGTTTGAGACCTTAAATCCATAAGTAAGTTACTGGGACTATGAGAATAGGCATAGTTACGATTGTGGTTGTACTGGAATATAATATTAGGTTTTAATCAATACATTGAAAATTGGGACTTCAACTTTTTTATTGGGATTTAGGAACTTATAAATGTGACCTTATTAAAATTTGGTTAGATTGTGTATTTCTCCAATAAATTGTAAATTTTTTCTCGAATTTGTGGGTCCACGTGCCTATAGCATAGTTGAAAGCTTCATTCTTAAGAACACTTAGGAATAGTGCGGGTTGTGTGCTTCTAGGATCGTTCAAAATTTTAAATGTAGTGAACGTGCATTTCTAGAAATTATAAAACATAAAATGATGTAGAATCAAATGTACTATTTCTATAACTAATCGTGAAAGTACTTTAAGTTTAACCGTAAGATGGCTTAGATTAAGCACAAAGAAGTTAACAGAATGAACATTTGAAGTTGCAAAATGTATGGTAAATAACTACCATAAAAGTGTATGAATTTAGTAAAATAGGTTTAACTTGTTATTGCATTAACGAACATCGCCCTGATAAAATTACTTTAAATAATGAACTCTATTCTGTCGAAAAAACATGTAAAATATTAGTTTGTGTTTTTTCGGCTCACTGTTTGAGTTACGTACTCAAGCACAGCTATATGATTGTATAAAAGGACACCATATTTATTGCGGAACCAAAACGCTTCAATTAAGTTGAAAGTCAACTTTTGATTTCTAAAACTAAAATACCTTGAGTTATAAGATACTTTTAGCGATAACTAACATTGATGATGTCTGCATTCTCGAAAACAGAAGATGCTAGAAACTCCATATCATATAACTAAACTTAAAGAAATTTATTAATCGATAGTTGTATTGATATAGACACGTAAACTGCTAACGTTTCGGACAACACATCATGGAATGTAACCGGCTGAATTCACTTGCAGAGTTGCCGTCTCGCTTTGTTGAACTTGCTCCCTCTGGAATTGTGTACCGGTAAGATTACCTCAACGTGAACATTCAGACAAGCGTCATGCTTTAAATATGAAACGTTATTAATCACGATGCTAATGGTAGGATACTTTTGTTTTACCAAATTTAACAAAAGACAACGAGTATGGACATCTGACCATTGTAACGCCCTTTTACACGTACACAAATATATTTCTAATTGGATCTTGACCATATCATGCTTATTATCTATAGGTTTCCTGATATTTGAATATGAATATTTAACTTTTTACTTCACAAGCATCTTTATCAAGTACTTTCATAACCATTGTTCATGATACCTCGTAAACTATGAATAGTGACTGTATGTCAGCCAAAAGTGAAATACTGGTACACACACACACACACACACAACCACACACACACACACACACACATATATATATATATATATATATATATATGTATACACACACACACAAACTGTATATATATCCCACAAAAAAAATCTGTGTCTGTGTTTTGTCCGTTATCTAACTACTACCAGGTCGCTGGGTCAGTCTGAACCAAACTCTTTATGGGGTGATAGTTTGGAACAAGAGGGCATGTTATTGGGGGGCTTGCAACACCCTTCACCCACCATTATTGCTGTTATTGAGCATTTATTATTTTTGACATAAGTTAACTTTAACTACATTCGCAGATGGCGCCATGTCCTTACACACACACACAAACTGTATTAATTTCCTGTACTCAACACACACACAGTGTGAGGGAGGTCACACAAACGTATTGTATATCTCGGAGAGTGCGCTAGCACAGCACTCTCTACAGAGGGAAATGCAATGAAAAAATGGACCCCACTATTGCAATAATACATAAACTCAGCTGAAGTTTCTACTCCAACAACCACTATAAGGTTGATATGAAGAGCTGTTTCTGGAGTTATACCCATTTCTTACTTTGGCCCGTGACCTTTCAACTTCGACCCGTAAAACACTCCTGCGGTCATGACCGTCAATTAATTAATCACGTAGAACACTGTGAAAAGACCATTAAGAGCTGGGTGTTTAAAGCGAGTAACAGAAAGCACCCCTACCACCACTACATTTTTTTGCTACCTCTTCCTAAAAAGTTACCCTCACCATTGCACAGTGTTTTAAGTACGTACATATTGAGTTATTAGAGCCTCTGCAAAACTTTTGGTGAGGTAATAATGAATACTGTAATGTTATGTTATAAATAAAATGTCTGAAAGGTAGGCACCTTAGCTTGTATGGAATAAAACTGATTATTTTGTCTAATAATCACACTAAATCTTTATAAGCAAAGTTGAAAATTAGTAATTAAAATATGAATTTAAAGGAAAGATTAGGAAAAAGTATGTGGATTATAATAGAAATTCACAGATCTGTTAGCGAGATCTAACAACAAAAATTATTTCGTTTTACCATTACAATATATATATATATATATTGCTGTTTTCCTGCAATGTGAAAAATACAAAACATGAAAGTGACCAACTGACTTTTTAGAGGGGAATAGATTTTTATTTTGTTTGCAGTTTAGAATACAAGTGAAAGATTTGCTTACACGTTTACACCATGAATTACCTAAAAGGTTTTAAATTAGGCGATGGAACATTATACGTATTCACGAGTATACATAAGCCTTAAATTATAATATTAGAAAAGTCATTTTGTGATTGCAATACATTCTTTCGAATGCAGATTTGAATAAGTAACTTATTATTGAAGTTAGTTTAAGACAGCGCTTATAAAAGAAAAAACTGAAATGGATCAAAGGTAAACCGAATGGGACTGGATTGCATTGAAAATGAACCAAATTAGAATAATCAAGCTCGAAACGAATTAATCTAAAAAGTCTTGGATCCAAATAGACGTACCAAATCGGACAACTAAGCGGAAATATAGCGAAACCAATCAATAACACTGAAACGAATACAAAAACTAAAGAGTTAGGCAGCGAGTATGTAAATCAACTTAATCGAATTGAAGTAAAAGCCATGTTAGATTGGACAGAAAAGGACCAAATACAACTGAAAAGGCCTGAAAAGTACACGAACCGAGTTAATTAAAAATGGACTGAAATCATTAAAATAAGAATTAAAAAAAACGGAAATAAAATCCAATGGTTTACTCGCAATTTTGTAGTGTAAGTTATTCCA